ACTGTTGTCTTCTGCTTTTTTAAATTGAGTAAACAAAATAAAAAGTTTCTCCCCCTTGCCCCCCCCACTCAGTACCCCCTTCCCTCCAGCAAGTCTCCCCCTTATATTCATGTCCATGGCTTATGTATATAAGTTCTTTGGCTTCTCCATTTTCTATACCATTCTTAACATCCCCCTGTCTATTTTGTACCTATCAATCTGTACTTCTTAATCTCTGCACCTTTTTCCCCATTCTGCCCCCTCCCCCTCCCAACTGATAACCCTTCAAATGATCTCCATATTTTTTATTCTGTTCCTGTGCTGCTTGTTTGCTTAGTTTGTTCTTTTATGTTCAATTATTGATAGTTGTGAATTTATTGCCATATTTTCAAGTTTTGATCTTCTTTTTCTCATATAAATCCCTTTACCATTTCATGTAATAATGGCTTGCTGGTAATGAACTCCTTAAGCTTTACCTTGTCTGGGAAGCACTTTATCTGCTTTTCAATTCTAAATGATAGCTTTGCTGGATAGAGTAATCTAAGTTGTAGGTTCTTGCTTTTCATCACTTTGAATACTTCTTGCCAGTTACTTCTAGCCTGCAAAGTTTCTTTTGAGAAATCAGCTGATAGTCTTATGGGAACTCCTTTGTAGGTAACCACCTGCTTTTCTCTTGCTGCTTTTAAGAGTCTCTCTTTAATCTTTGGCCTTATAATTATGATATGTCTTGGTGTGTTCTTTTTTGAGTTCATCTTTGAGTTTGGGACTCCGTGTTCCCTGGACTTGTATGTCTAGTTCCTTCACCAAATCAGGGAAGTTTTCTATCATTATTTTTTCAAATAAGTTTTTAATTCCTTGCTCTTTCTCTTCTTTTGGCCCCACTATGATTCAAGTGTTGGTATGTTTGAAGATGTCCCAAAGGCTCCTTAGCCTAGCCTTGGTTTTTTAGATTCTTTTTTCTTCTGCTGTTTTGATTGAATTTTTTTCTTCCTTATGTTCCAAATTATTAATTTGATTCTTGGCTTCATCCACTCCACTGTAGGTTCCCTATAAATTTTTCTTTATTTTACTTAGTGTAACCTTCATTTCTTCCTGGGTCTTTTTCCTGCTGTTAAAGTACCCAATGGGTTCCTTGAGCATCCTAATAACCAGTGTTTTGAATGCTGCATCTGACAGATTGCTTATCTCCATTTCATTTAATATGTTTTCTGGAGTTTTGTTCTTTCCTTCATTTGGGCCATATTTCTTTGTCTCCTCATTTTGGCAGCCTCCCTGTGTTTTTTTCCGTGTATTAGGTGCAGCTGCTTTGACTCCCTGTCTTAGTAGTGTGGCCTATCATAGAAAGGCACATCGGTAAGTTGGACTGGCCAAAGCCTTAGGTAATCACCAGGGTGGAGGCAACCTGAGTTGCTGCTGTGTGGCTCGGTGTGGGGGACCCAGAGAGGGGACAATGCTGCTACCTGGCCTTTGGAATTTTTCCTGGAGGAAGCTGTCTCCTGGTACTTACCCTGATGCCAGGTACTTCAATCTCTCCCCGCATGCTACTGGTGTCCTTTCACCTATTGCCCTGGTGCTGAAGCCCAGAGAGAATGAGTCTGTGTCAATTGTCAGTGCACTGTGGGCCCTTTAAGAGGAGACCTCTGAAAACCCTGCAGTTTCTTCTGCTGCCCCAACCCTCACTGTTTTTTTTTGTAGCTAAATGTTATGGGGACTTATCTTCCTAGCACTGGAACCCTGGGCTGTGTGGTGTGGTGTGGAGCTGGGATCCCTCTCAGTTTTTGTCTGCCAAACGTGGGTGTGGGACTGCCTGTTCTGGCTCTCCACATCCTCCTGCCTACCTGTGTGTGTCCACATCTCCACCCTCCCAAACATCTGGATGACTGTGGCTTCTTGAATTTATTGGTTGTCAGATTTCCATATAGCTTGATTTTCTGATGATTCTGGATGATATTTGTTTTGTAGTCTAGTTGTAATTTTTGCTGTGGTTGTGTGAGGAGGTGAGCCACGTTTACCTGTGTCTCCATCTTGACCAAAGTCCAACTTCCCCAAATAAAATTTTTGATGAATACATCTAGAGCTTTAGTTTCCCTAAAAGTTGATCATTAATTTTTATCAATACAATTTTAAAAAGTGGTCTTTATAGAATTGCACCATGTACCCAGGAAGAGGGTGGTCCAGAGGGAAAGGCAGATGTGTAAACAGAAATCCTCTAAGAGGTGGGAGTGTACGTTCTACAGTGGAAGCATAGAAGAAAGGCAGACAATGGTTGACCTTGGGGAAAGTGTTCACTAACAAGGTGATATTTGATCTGAATTTTGGGGCTGGACAGGACTTTGCAGAGAATGGGGAAGGAATTCCTGTAAAAAGTAAAGAGTCTACAAAGTCAGAGAGGTGGTGAAGAGTTTGACTTTTGTCAATGTAGGTATATTGGAATTCAGGAGACCAGAGGGACTGATAGGCTGGGCAGGTGGGCAGCGGCTAGTTGGTGTGGGCCTAGACTCTATGTGAAGGGAGTTAGATTAGATCCATTAAGGCCACTGGATAGTTTTGAGCAGCAAAGGTCTTATAACTCATTTGCATTGCAGGCTGTTCCCTCTGATGGTAGCTTTGGAGAATAGATTGCATCTGTGAGTGACAGGTGTCCAGAAGGGGCTATGTTAGATGGATATGAGTCGTGTTGAGAAATTTGAAACTAGTGCTATGTTATACAGCAAATTCACATCTTTAGAGTACAAATTAGATGAACTAGCAACTTTTAGAGGTATGTGCCACGTCTCCCAGCCAGCATCAGGGGTGAAGTCCAGGGCTGCTGCGTGTGGTTGTGCAGACTGCTCACTGCACAGCAGTGCCTGGCGAGGGAAGGGCCAGGAGGACCCGCCAGGCTGTGAATCCTGGCACAGACTGAATCCACCAGAGTAGGGTCTGGTTTCCTAGCTGCACAAAAGCAATGGCTAACAGCTCCATTAACTCCCTTTTTTTCAGGCTGGGCCTAGAATGAATTTCTTTACAATAAGCAATGAGATAAAGTATCAAGATACCAACAGACAGGGAGAGCAGTCAAAGTTTCCAATATGCACCATCAAAGACAGATGTAAGCAACATTAAGCTAGTCCTGTTCTGCTTTGAGCCTTCCAAAAAGGTGATATTTCCTCAAAGGTCTGAGAAGCCTGGGACCCTCAAGCAGAGTCCTTGGGGGCACAAATGGACAACTGCCTTTAAGAGCCATATCCCTGTTACCTTGTTGAAGTCCCATTCAGTGGTCATACAGACCATACTCAACATGTAAGCAAACTTCTTAGTCCTAGAGAGACCTCACTCAGAAATTTTGTAACAGTCTGTGTTTTTTGTCCCTTGTGGTAGGATGTACTATTTGGTTTTGGGGAGAGGCACACACAAATCTTGGTGTGATTTAGGTGAGAACAATTAGAGTAATAGTCACCTTTGTTAATCTCAATGATTTCTCACACACACAAAAAAAAACCCCAAAGTGGTAATTTTCTTTATTTCTGGGCAAAATTTGGTCTCTAGTCTAAAAGAAGGTTTGGTCAGGGTCACCTGGAAGGCGGCCCTTGCAGAGTTTGCCATCAGCAGGCACTCTACAAGGAGGCATCTTCTTGTGCAGGGCTTGATGCGTGCAGTTACTTACGCATGATCTTATTTCTCTGGGATGCAGTCTGGGTAAATGGCTGCTCCATCGCAGAGGTGGGCAGGCTACTGGTCTGCCGGCCCGATCAGGCTTAATGACCTAAGAGGGTTGAAAAAAGTCAAAAGAAGATTAATATTTTGCATTATGTCACATTCACATCTTGGTGTCCATAAACAGATTTTTGTTGCCACTCTCATTCACTTATGTGTTGTCCGTGGCTGCTTTCGAGGTACAACTGCAGCGGCGGGGACCACACAGCCTGCCCACAATGTATAGTCCAGCCATTTGCAGAAAAGCTTTGCTGGCTCCTACTCTAGAGAAACAGTTGAAAGATGTCGAGGTCTGATATATTTAAAATTTACCTAATGCCACCTTTTAAAAGTGAAAACAGCTTTAACGAGATATAATTGACATACTGTAAACTGCACGTATTTAAAGTGTATAATTTGATAAATTTTGGCACATGTAAATATTCATGAAACATCACCATAATCAAGATAGTGATGTATCCATGACCACCGAATTTCTTCTTCCCCTCTGTGATGCTGCTGTCCTGTTACTTCCTGTCCCTCATCCTGCCTAGCAAAAACTCTGATCAGCTCTCAGTCACTAGAGATCAGTTTGAATTTTCTAGAGATTTATGTAAATGGAATCCTACAGTAAGTACTCTTTTTTGGGTGGGGGGGTCTGGCTTCTCTCACTTACCAGTGTTATTTTGAGATTCATCTGTGTTATTGTGAGTATCAGTAGTTCATTCCTTTTTATTGTAAGGTTATACCAGAATTTGCTTCATTCATTTACCTCTTTTAAAAATATTTTCATTTATTTATTTTAGAGAGAGCGGAAGGGAAGGAGAAAGAGTGGGAGAGAAACATCAATGTGTGGTTGCCTCTCATGTGTCCCCCACTGGGGACCTGCCTGCAACCCAGGCATGTGACCTGACTGGGAATCAAACTAGCGAACCTTTGCTTCACAGGCCTGTGCTCAGTCCACTGAGCTACACCAGCCAGGGCTCATTCACTTACGTCTTGATGAGCATTTGCCCTTTCCCCTGTTTTTGACATTTGCACAACAGAGCTTCTGTGAACATTTGTGTACAAGTCTTCACTTTCTTTTCTTTTGGGTGTCTCTCAACAATGCGCTGGAGCCCATGAGAACATCGGCCGGAGTAAAGTAATACCTTCGTGTGAACTAAATCTTGTATTTTTCCCCAACAGTAACCATTTATTCTCTCTAAGTGTTTATGTGCTGAGTGTGTTTACATGAGCAGTGCGGTCACTGTCCAATGTACAGGTGGGATGCTTCTTTCTGTTAATCATACAGAGAAATTGAAACAAAGCATTGCTTTTCTCTTTTTAAACTTTACTCTGCTTAGAACTATTTTGGTGGAAAACTCTCTGCTCAAGGGAAAATGCCTTGGATTGAATATAATCATGAAAAAGTTTCTGGCACAGAGTTCATAATCGACTTTCTGGAGGAGAAACTCGGCGTGAATTTAAACAAAAACCTGGGGCCTCAGGAGAGAGCGATCTCCAGGGCGGTGACCAAGATGGTGGAGGAGCACTTCTACTGGTGAGTCCTGTCCTCCCCCCAGTGAAAGCCACGTTCCCGTCGCTTTTCAGATCCTCCCCAGACCTCTCCTTCAGGAAAGAAACCCTTTCAGAAGTTTTCTGCACTCTGCTGACGGAGGGGTCAAACTTAGGCCTGTGAAGTTTCCAGGTACCCAGAGCGGGGCCTACATGCTCCACAGAGGCCCAGCTAGCACATAGGGTGGGCTTGTGCGCCACCCGTCTCTGTGGTAGCTGCAGTCGACCCTGGAACAACGTGGGGGTGGCGCTCTGCACAGTTGAAAATCCCTCAGAACTTAGCTACTGATAGCCTACCATGGACCGGAAACCTTACTGATAACATGAACCGTCAATGAACACATATTTTGAGTGTTATGTGTATCATATACTGCATTCCTACAATAAAGTAAGCTAGAGAAAAGAAAATGTATTAAGAAAAACATTTGGGGTGGGAAATACATTTGTAGGACTGTACATATGTGTGGGGAGAAATCCCTGTGTGAGTGGGCCCTGCAGTTCAAGGGTCAACTGTACTGACTCTGCCCGCTGTTGTAGTGGGAGAATGGCCCTAGATGAGATGCAAATGAGTACGCATGGCTGTGTTCCCACAGAAACACTGAAGTTCGAATTTTGTTTAATACAAAACTTCTCTTATTTCTTAGCCTCAACCATTAAAAAAAGCAAATTTCTTAGCCTTTGGGCTATAGTTGGCTGGCCCCCTGACCTAGACTGGAACTCACTAAGGTGAGGGCGATATTTTCATAGACTGGGCTCTTCACCAGTATGAGCTGCTGAATTACAATAATATCACCTCAGATACGCAGAGGAGGGAACAGAAAACGAAGACAGGAGAGAGGTCTTAGGTGAAGTAAATTACACAGGCTTTGTGAGATCACGGTCAGTTTTCATCAGAGGAGGAGGGTGTCCCCACACCCGGGAGTGAAGCACCATAAGATACCGCCGTCTGCGCAGGTCTGCCCTGCCAGCCGCAGGCCGCAGTCCCGGAGCTGGGAGCACCACACACACTGTTGACGAGTTGGCCCCTTCCGCCCATGGCGTTGTGCTGGCTGTGACACCACGGGGGTTAAACAGACATGGTTCTTCTTGCTTTACAAACTCATGGTCATCTGGGTTTTTTCTTTTCTTTCATCCATCTTTTGAGAGTTGTAGTACCTGTCTATATCCCAGTAGATAAGAGAAGTTTTCTCTCTGATTTTTGCAAACTTGATCTTGTTCCAAAGATTTAATTAAGAATTGTTCAGCCCAGCATTTTCCATTCGTTGTTCTTTCCTCTTGGGTCAGTAGCTCACCCTGTAGCTCCTCCCTCCCCCACTGGGAGATGCACTCAGTGTGGAGGTGACTATGGAAGGTTCTTCCTCATCACCTTCCTGTTTCATTTGTTCAGTTCTCTAAATGAGAAACTTGCTCCGTCTTTTGGATTTTAAGTGACCCTCTATTTCTCTTTTCATTTTTCTACTTTCAGTTCTTGCCCACTTTATTCCGGGGCCGGCCTGAAGAGCCACTGCTTGCTCTTCCTCCTTTCAGGACAGTGGTGAGGTGGGAGGGGAGCAGGCCGAGGTGTGGGTCTGTGTGGGAGGAATCAGAGACTGTGTCCCAGGTCTCTAGCTGGTAGTAGCACTTGTGGAGGACTGCTGGGCTTCCCTTCTCAGAGACTGCGGGGTTTGGCCCTGAGGACCAGAATGTGTGACTGCAAGTGACATGCTTAGCTTCAGGGGAAAGCCTGTGGGACAGAGCCTGGCTCACCTGCTGGCCAGGTTCCATCACAGCGATTAAGGGAAATGAAGGACCAGCACAGCCAGCATGGGACCACCCTGACCCTCCTGCCGCCTCATTTGATTGATGGGCACATTAATGTGGAGAGCTAGTGCTTTGTCAGCTGCCGAAAAGGAGCCGAAAGCCCTCCATGGGTTGGTAGTTCTGGTATAACTCTTTGATTTCTGTAGTGGTTCATAAAATTTATATTCCAGTTTGTGGGGGTGACTTTCCTTGCAAGCCCCCCATGTGCCACGGATGAGAGTAATCATGACTGAGACGTGATGTGATCTGCTTGGGGAGGAGAGGTGGCCATTTTCCCAGAGGAAAAAGGCCAGCAGCAGCTGGTCAGTTTCTTAAGGATCAAACAGTAGATAACATTTCAAAGAAATCTGAGGACTTAGTATGAGTCAGAGTCTGTCAGGAACAGAGTTTTAGGGTTTCCTGCTCGAACCCTTAATATATGAATGAAAACACTCTTGGCAGAGCAGATTTCACAGGTTTATCAGGAAGTCTTTATGATGCCAGATTTTTCCCCAGGACATGCTCTAGCAAGGCAAGGAGCTGCACCCCTCCCCATCAGGTGTTCAGGCTTAAGGGGATTAGAGCCGGGAAGTACTTCTCCCAGAGAATGTGGGGACTCAGGCTTTGAAGCTGTGGGGGGCTCCCAGAGTCCATTGCCCCCTCTTTGTTGCAGCCCCCCCAGTTCTTCCATGAAGGCCTCCCAAGTGATGGAGTCTGGCTTAGGTTGCCCCCTGCTGTGAGGGGTCTTACCCGTCATTGACTTCCGACCAAGCTTTGGGGGCAGGGAGAGGAAACTGAGGCAGCCTTTGCTACCAGAGACAAGCTTTGTCTCCTGTGGCTCGTATTCCAAAGGTCATCCTCACCCTTAGCCACAAAGGGTCAAGATACAATTCCTAGAACCAGGCAGAGTGGTCTACAACACCAGTTAGAAAGACATTTATCCAGAAAGATTCCCAAGTACCACCTGCCACTGCCTCTTGCTCTAGGTGTGTGGGGCATTTTGCATATGTCTGCTTCATGGTAGAAGTTCATCTTCTGGTCTCCCCTCCCCCTCTCTCTACAAGGGCCCCTGCTAATACTTGCTAGGGGCGGGGAGAAAGAGGCGGGAGCTGGTGTCCTGGTAGGGAAATATCTTAATTCTATGGACCATACATCTCCAAGTGCTTGGGTCATACATACACTCTTCTCTTTTTAATTAGAAAACCCCTTTTTTGGGGGGTGGTTAGCTACTCTTTCTCATTTGTGCTCTTCAAGAGCTAATTTGAGGAAGAAATAGTTAAGGTGGAAGGCCAGGTCTTGATTGAGAGGCACATGTGTACAGTGAACTTTCAAAAAAAAAAAGTCCTGATTCATCCAATTCCCTTCAGTCCCTAGTAACAGAAGGAGACGCAGACCTTCCTTGGTTCCATAAGTTTTCCAAACCTTTAGCCAACTTCTTGCTCTGGGGTGATGCTGAACAGGCTCTCCCGGAAGCTCTGAACCCCAAGGGAGAAAAGCCCCGTCCCCCTCACGGTGTGAGAGTGTGTGGCACCCTCCACCCCCAGGCTCCTCTCCTCCTTCCCATTCTCTAGTCTCAGAGGCAAAACACCAAACGTGCACCTGGGGAGTATGAGACCAGCACGGGGAACTGATCTCAGTATGTAGGAAAACAGTGTAAGTATGAGCTTTCTTCCCATGAGAACCTGTTAGATTCTGACAGTCCATAAGCTGCCAGGTTGGGTCCGTACTTACAGTAGTGGAAGACATGGGATAATTGTTTGACTCCACCGACTAAATTGTCTGGACTTTTCAGATATGTTTATTTTGGTCTGAAACTTTACAAATATTCCAGGTGTGATTTTTCTGAAGAACAAAGACAATGGAAAGCTCTTATTGTTATATAACGTCATGATTCTGAAGGTCTGTTTTAGGTCTGCTCAAAGAAGCACACTCAGCTATAAAGTGGTTTTTGTCTTGCACTTGAAAGCCCTATAATTATGTCCCACTTCCTTTATAAAGCTATTATGGAAGATGAAGAAGGCAGGTTTTAACCTCTTTGTTCCACTGAATGCTTAAGTCAGATCCAATGCAGGGAAGTCCCTACAAGGAAAGTCTGATAGACACAGGATCGAATTACCGGAGTGAAATTGATTTTTGGTAGCAGACACCATAGCCTCTTCTCTGTGACATACTGCCCCCTTGTGGACACCAGTGTCTTAAGAGTCTTCCCATCACATAGGGAAATGCATAGGAGACACAGTAGTCAAACTGGTCATAACAGCACATAACACATATAGATATATAGGTGTTAGAACAGGGAATTCAAGTTTGCTTCTAGACTGGCCATAATTTTTAAAATTTTGAGTTTTTCAGTGAGTGGAGAGATGAGAAGCCTTAATAAAATGACTTAACACCAAAATCTCATTTTTTAAAAGATTTTATTTATTTATCTTTAGAGGGGCAGGGAAGGAGAGAGGGAGAGAAATATCAGTGTATGGTTGCCTCTTGGGCGTCCCCTGCTGGGAATTGGCTTGCAACTGGCCTGCAACCCAGACATCAAATTGGGATTCCCAGTGCCCTGACTGGGAATCAAACTACAGTCCTTTGGTTTGCAGGCCCGAGCTCAATCCACTGAGCTGCACCAGCCAGGGCAACACCAAGATCTTTTGATTACAACTTGATTGATGTGTTCTTCTCTGATATGCCCCCTCCCAGTTCTAGATGTAGTGAGGGCTCCTTTTGGGAGGAGCTAATCTCATGCCTGTGAAACTTGGGAAAACACAGAAACTTATCATGTGCTTCTGCATCTTTGAGCATTTGGAGAACAGGCAAAATATGGCAAGGATAGCAGGACGTGGAGAAAGACGTTCTCATGGTCGGGGAGGCCACCTGAGAGGACTCAGTCATCAAACAGTGGTTTGCCATGGGCTGCAGCTTCCTGCCTACTGAAACTTGTTTCTGCTCTGGGCCAGGTCTCCTGTTAGGTTATAGTGAGACATGTCCATTTAAACACCCAGGGTTGTTTTTCTTTCCTGACTTCTTGATAGCCTTTAAAAATGTTTGAGCACCCTGACTGGTGTGGCTCAATAGGTTGGATGTCATTCTGCAAGGTGAGGGGGTTGCTGGTTGGATTCCTGGTTGGGATGCATGCCTGGTTTGTGAGTTTGGTCCCTGGTTGGGGTCTGTGTGAGAGACAGCCAATTAATGTTTCTCTCCCTTTCTTTCTCC